TCACGTGCCCTGTCCTTCAGAAGACAGGAAGCAAGTCGTACCTTTTCCCCCTCGGGACATCGACTCGTACGGAAAGCATTGGCAACATCAGCCAACCATCTGCTGCTAGAAATAGGGTACCAAGCCCCATGGTAGTCTGGAGCTCTGCAAGCTCGGAACTCCCCCTGAATGTCAGTGTGCGCGACCCCAACATGGCCGACACCTCAGTACGGAATGCATTCAGTCTCTCATCCAAAATCTCCAAGATGTCCTCCTTGATCGTACCGAAGATCACAGGAGTCTGGTCTAAAATGTTGCGCGTGATCTCATATGAGATGAACTCCCTCGTCTGGTCATCTAGCTACCCGGCTCCATAGCCCGATCCTGATCCCTCACCGGCACCCGAACTGCCGACTGGCCTAGTGCGTAGCGTCACCATACTGAAAATATACCATAAAAAATGTCAGTATACACATCATAACTCGAGGGATCTCACATACTACAAGTTTCATGGGTTCATCTCAGCCTTCCTTGATTCGAGTACGGATCCTCTGCTTTCAGTAGTACGGGCCCATACTACCTTCCACATATATCCATACTTTCCTCAAGAACTGCCTTGACTACACCAAGTACCTTTTACTGCTACTGCTGTTCTCACAATAATCTCATCCTAGGCTTCCCCTAGGGTAATCACCAACCCACTTTCCGCCATCAGGTGCAGAAGAAGTCCCTGCTACCTCCCCCTAAATAGCTCGCGAATACCATTACATATCCCTTAGACTAGATAATTCTTCGAATGAGAGGTCCTACCCTACAACGGTTAGACTCAAACAAGAGTTGCGAAATAAGGCTAAACCTAACCTTATGAAATTATTTAGTCCTCGCAATATGTAACTTAACATATTAGTTTACTAGTTAGTTAGAGATAAATAGAAATCCTAAAAGTACAAAGCAAGCAACATTCGAGCATTGAGTACACATAATCAAGCATGTCCTAATTAGGCCATCATATCACCGACTAATCTATACTAGCATGCAGTTCATAAAGCTGATACACATATAACAGGCACATAAGACATCCTTTATAGATCCTTAGCCCTAATCTAGCATGCAGTTCTCATAAGAATATCATAACATAAACTTGTATGAGTAATTTGGGAGTACTCACTTGAGCTCGGCTGATTGCTTGCACCACACCCTTTTCTCTTTTCAAAATTCCTTTCACTTTTCAAGATTCCTTTTATAAAAATGTTTTTCTTTTGAAAATTTCCATACCAAATCCTCAGTTTAAGTTCAGACACACCTGAGAGTGTGCCCGAATCCCTCAAACCAAGGCTCTGATACCAACATGAAACATCCCAAAAACACACTCCAAAAATTTCGTTTTTAATTATTAAGAAAACCATAGTCATCAAACATCATATAAAATCATAAGTAGTGTATCACAAAATATCATAACATCTGTTAAACATATATCAGAGTATAACATCCCAGGCTAAACAAATGGTGTGTGCACTACAATCATCCCGAGCTCTTCCCCTTGCTATCGGTAGTACCTGAAACCAAAACTGAAAACTGTAAGTACGAAGCTTAGTGAGTCTCCCCAAACTATACATAATCACATAATAACATACACTGGTCCTTGCCCACTACATCGGGCCCCGCCTGGCATCGTACCTAAATCCGACATTGGGCCCTACCCGGCATCGGGCCCCGCCCGACATCAGACTGAAGTTCGGCATCGAGCCCCGCCCGGCATCGGACCGAAGTATGGAATACATATAAACATATAAACAAAGCATATAACATAAACACATATCATAAGAATGTAAACATTCCTCGGGCTTGCCCCAACATCAGACCGAAGTCCGGCACATATAAACAAACACATGCAAAAATCACGAAGACATCAAGCATACAAACATTCCTCAGGCTTTCCCCGGCATCGGACCGAAGTCTGGAATCATATAACCTACATCGGGCTAACCCCGGAATCGGACCTAAGTCCGACATACGCTAACATACATAAACGAGTCGACATTGGTGCCTTCGACCCGTTCCTACTAGAGGAAAACTCACCTCGTAAAGCTGACTGCTGAATCTCACAGTGAGGAAATCTCTAGTGGCTGCTCCAACGACTCCCCGACTATCATTATCATAACAACACTTAGTCCAAATCCATACTTCTTCTTAGGGTAAAATGACCATTTTACCCCTTGGTCTAATTTGGGCCATAACCAAGGTCCAATTCCATCTAATCTCTCCAAGCCCTCTAATGGTCCACTAAAGGCCCATTAATGGCCCAATTTTCTAAATTGGGCCAATTCCTCAAATGGACCTTCCCTTAAGCCCAAACATGTCCTTAGTCCATTTCTGACTTCTGATGGCCCATTAAGGCCCAATAATTGCTAAGTCCAAAGATTGGCCCAAACCGAGGCCCAAACATCGCAAGCCCAAAACTTGAGAGTACGCGGGGCGTACTCCTCTGTACGCTAAGCCTACTGCTGCATGGATTGTACGTTGCGCATACTGGCTTGTACACCGAACGTACTACCCTGTTAAGCCATAAACTTCAAAAGTGCTTTTTCCATTAAGACCTTAAGCCCATGTTACAGATTTGAGTCCCTTAGCATGTCTTAACTCATAAAGCCGACTACTTGGTGGCTTGCAACCCACAAAATGAACCCAAACTTGGAATATAACAACTAACTTCCATGGAAATGGTTAGATCTCATGCATGGTCACAAATGGACCTTAAAGATTGAAACTTTACTGCTTATGGGACTCATATGTCACTAATGGTGGCAACCATAGACCTACAAACGAATTTGAGTCATAAAGGTCCATTCTTGGGACTAAAAAGATCCCAAAACATCTCTATACTAGATCTAAGCATACATGAGGAAAGTTGAAAGCTTTATACCTCCAATGAGTGCCAAATGGTGAGGTAATCTCAGATCCTTGAGCTCAAGATACTCAAGTTCTTCTTTTCTAACTCCTCATTTCTTCTTCCAAGCTCCAAATCTTCAAAACAAGCTCCAAAAGGCCAAACACACACAAGAATAGAGTATGAGAAGGTATCTAGGGTTTCTGAGGTTGAGAGGCTGGTTAGGAGGCTAGGGTTTGAGTCATAATGTTCTATTTATATGGCTTAAACCCTAAAAATTAGGGTTTGGAGTCTGCTCATGTACGCTGCGCGTACTCCTTGGTATGTTGCGCGTACGTGCATGCGCCTCCCGAATCCAAAGCTCCTCTACGCCCCGCGTACGCCCAACATACGTCTTCTGGGCGACCCAACTTCACGGCCCACTTACTAAGGTCCAACTCAATAATCCATTATCCAATTCATAGCCCAACAACAAATAATAAATATTTAAAATAAATAATACCTTAAGTGACGGATGTTTCAATGATGCTGGGTTTGATACGTTACAACTCGTTAAAATGAATATTTTTTGGGTTTGATGCGGTACAACTTGTAAAAATGAATATGTTTTCGTTTCTTGTGCCATTTGGACCGGCCAAACTTTGATTGTTTATACTTTATACCATTTGTTTGAAGGATTGTAATTCATTGAATATAACACAAAAAACAACAAAACTATAGTCTAAACTCATCTACCAACTATAAATTACATGCTGGAAAAAACTACATGTCAATTCGACTTAAAACAAATAAGATATATGCTTGTTTAAAAAATTTCACAGAATATAAAAGTTAAAATTTTTTGCTGAAAAGCTGAAATGTTTCAGCTTTGATATCTCATGTTTGAAAAATTGTAACTCATCGAATATAACACCAAAAACAACAAGATTATAGTTTAAAATCATCCACAAATTCTAAATTACATGTTGTAAAAAACCGAATGCCAATTCGACTTAAAACGAATGAGATATTTTTTTAAAAAAAAATTCACAGAATATAAAAATTTAAATTTCTTGTTGAAAAGCTGAAATATTTTAGCTTTAATATCTAATCTTTGAAGGATTGTAACTCATCTAATATAACACAAAAAACAACAAAATTATAGTCTAAAATCATCTACAAATTCTAAATTACACATTGAAAAAAACTGCATGTCAATCCGACTTAAAATGAATGAGATATGCTTGTTTAAAGAACTTCACAGAATACAAAAGTTTAAATTTTTTATGAAAAACTCAAATATTTCAGCTTTGATATCTCATCTTTGAAGGATTGTAAATCATTGAATATAACACCAAAAACAACAAAATTATAGTCTAAAATCATCTATCAACTCTAAATTACACGTTGGAAAAAACAGCATGTCAATCCGATTTAAAACTAATGAGATGTGCTTGTTTAAAAAATTTTACAGTATACAATTTTTTCTTAAAATAAGCCAGTCCAAAACCGGTTTTACCAGGAACCGGCCGGGCCAGACCGGTAAAAAAAACCGGACCATTTTTTTTTCGTAGTCTGACATTTTTTTTTGAGGCGCCACATGTGAAACTTCTTTTTTTTGCATGTAGTTTTCTCTGGTAATCATAATATAATGCAAAAGAAAACTTTTAAAACGCATAAAAATACATTAAATAAAAACTTACAATACGTCTTCAACCATATTTATTAAAAATTTATCTACAATAACATAAATTTATACATTAAAAATGACAAATGAATTTTTTTTCAACTTAAAAGAGAGAATGGAACACAGTACCGGACAATTGCCCCATTTTTCCTAGTATCGCATGTATGTTTGACCATTCATCGGCCCATTACATGATTTAGTAGGTAACTAGGTATGACATAATTGGTGGCTATTTTAATATAAACTTATCGCCTAAACTTAAAAATCACATTGAGAAATTAATCATTTTTATATTTTTCTCGTAAATAAATCCTTACCCTCGATGTAACCAAACACCCACTTGATATAATTTAATAGTAAATGTTTAATTAGTTTTAAAGACATTTACAAAGTTTGATGCACGTGGGAAGTAAGTGGTGTTTAATATACTTTAAAAGGATAGAACGGTAGATATCCGTACGACTGCGCCTTGATTTCTCCTGCATCATCTGCCACCACTCGCCGCCGCATTTGGTCCACAACCATTCTCATCGGTCAACTTTACTGCCCCCCTTACTCTGCTAGAACACATCAATGTCGGCTTCTTCAGCTCCACCACCGCAGCAAAAACTCACCGCACCCTACGGTTCCTGGTCGTCCCCTATCACCTCCGACATCGTTTCCGGCGCTGGCAAGACTCTCGGAGGCACCGCCGTCGACTCTCTCGGCCACCTCTTCTGGCTCGAATCACGCCCCACTGAATCCGGGTATATTATCAAGTTCATCAGTAAGACAGTAAGTTTAATTTAACACAAACCCCTTTTTGATTCCATTTAGTCTTCTTCGTTTCAGTCGCTCGGTTATAGTTAGAGGAGGTGCTGATGAAGATGAAGCTTCCGATATAACGCCGATTGACTTCTCAGTTCGCACAGTTGCTCAAGATTATGGTGGTGGTGATTTCTCTGTTTCAGGCGATACTGTAATTTTCTCGAATTACAAAGATCAAAGACTCTACAAGCAATCTATTCGTTCTCCTTCTTCACCTGTAGCACTTACCCCTGATTATGGCGAACCTCTAGTCTGCTATGCGGATGGAGTTTTTGACAAAAGGTTTAATCGCTATGTCACCATTAGAGAAGGTACTTCATTATTGCCATGTAATTTTATCAATCATTGGTCATCTTTATGAATTCTGGCTTCATGGCAGATCGAAGAGAAAGTAGCAAAAACTCTGTAGCAACTATTGTATCACTTGAACTCAATGATGAAACTATTCGAGGTATAGTTGATGTATGCATTTTCAATTTATAAACTCATTTAGACATTAACAATGGTTTCCATCATGTGATATGCAGATCCAATAGTATTAGTAGGTGGAAATGATTTCTATGCATTTCCCAGATTAGATCATGAGGGAAAAAGAATAGCGTGGATTGAGTGGAGCCACCCTAATATGCTATGAACCGTGGATAATTTATTGATTGCAGAAAAACGTACAACGGTTTAAATACATAAATAATCTCCTAACAATATGGAGATATAAAAGGGAAATATTGAGAGAATTACAACAGGGATATATTTTCCATAAAGGAGAATTATTTCCTAATACCCCCTTCAAGCGAACAGGTGGGGGACCAACTCGTAGTCTTCCACGAAAGAATTCAAACAGAGGGCGAGATAATCCCTTGGTGAAGATATCCGCAACCTAGAGCTTGGTTGGCACGAACTTAGTGTATAATTTCCCTGATGAGACAAGTTCACGAATAAAATGATAGTCAATATCGATGTGCTTGGCTCGTTTGTGGGACACCGGATTTTGACTAAGAAAGAGAGCACTTTTGTTGTCACAAAGAATAGTCGGACGATCGGGTGGCAGAGCATGAAGTTCACGAAGAAGGTGAGTAATCCAAATGATTTCAGCGGCGGTGTTTGCCATTGCCCGATATTCTGATTCACAACTAGAACGTGAGACTGTGGGCTGTTTCTTTGCACTCCAAGAAACAAGATTTCCACCCAAATAAATTGAATAGCCATAGGTAGATCGACGAGTTTCTATACATCGTGCCCAATCTGCGTCCGAATATCCCACCAACCTGGTGGTAGATGGCTTATCAAAGGTAAGCCCGTAGGATAGAGTACCTTTCACATAACGAAGGATGCGTTTCACTAATTGAAAGTGAGAGGTAGTTGGAGATTGTAGAAACTGACTTGCCTGATTAACCGCGTAGGAAATGTCCGGTCTGGTAATCGTGAGATACTGAAGAGCTCCAACAAGAGACCTATAAAGAGTAGGGTCGTGGAATAGAGTGCCTTGAGAGTTAAAGATATCGCCAAGTGTCAACGGTGTGCCAACAGGTTTGGCATCAAGGAGCTCTGCTCTAGCAAGAACATCATGGGCATACTTTGCTTGACTTAGAAAAAGACCAGAGTCGGTGTAGGTCACTTCAAGTCCCAAGAAGTAGTTAAGTTGTCCCAAATCTTTGATAGCAAACTCTCTGTGAAGACGAGTGATAAATTGTTTAATGGTTGACTCGTGATTCCCGGTGAGAATGATATCATCTACATAAACGAGGAGATAGATGAGACATGATTCGCGCTTGTAGACGAATAAAGATGGGTCTGCACGGCTACATGTGAAACCAATGTGAACAAGAAAATTGCTAAGTCTTAGAAACCAAGCACGTGGTGCTTGTTTTAGGCCGTATAAAGCTTTTTTAAGACAACATACATAGTCATGAACACGAGAGTTAATGAAACCTGGGGGCTGTTCCATAAAAACGGTTTCAGTATGATCTCCATTTAAGAAGGCATTTTTGACATCTAACTGATGTAGATGCCATTGATGGATAGTAGCTAAAGCCAAAACGATTCGAACAGTGGAAGCCTTGACAACGGGACTGAAAGTGAGGGAATAATCTAACCCCGGAACCTGAGTAAATCCTTGTGCAACCAACCGAGCCTTGTAACGATCAACTGAACCATCAGATTTATATTTTGTCCTATAAACCCATTTAGATCCCACGACATTTGAATTCTTAGGGCGAGGCACAAGATCCCACATGTGATTATTATGCAAAGCATCCATTTCTTCACGCATTGCAGTTATCCACTCTGAATGTTTAGATGCTGTTTTAAAACCCTTAGGATCTTTTGAAGCAAATAATGCGTGATGTAAAGGACTGGAAGTAAGGATGGCAATATCTGCAATGTGTCGTGGTTTGTGTATACCAGCACGTGATCGAGTTATCATCGGATGCAAAGAAGAATGTGCAACGGATTCAGATGAAGGAGGTGGACTGATAACAGATTCAGGCTGGTTGGTGGTAGAGTCGGCTGGGTTAGGAACTATAGTAGAAACTGGGGATGGTTGGTTGTCAGGTATGGTAGCGACAACAGGCTGTGGTTGGGGTTCATCTTGGCGAGAACGACGAGTATAGATGTGTCGGAAGGGAGTGGTAGGGGAGTAATTATGGGATGGATTGGAGGGTGACACATTAGGTTGGGTAGAAGGTTGGATACAAAGTGTGCATGGGCTGGATTTTTTATGTTTACAGGTTGGTGGAGTGGGCTGAGCTATAACTTCTAGTGGTGAGGAGTTTTTGAATGAAAAATCATCAAAGTTGGAGAATAAAAGCTTACCGTCATCAACCGGAGGAATAATTCCACTGAAGGGAAAAACATCTTCATCAAATTAAGCATGACGAGTAACATAAACCCGATTTGTAGATGGATCAAGGCAACGATATCCTTTATATTTTGGACTATATCCAATAAAGATACATGAGGCGCTTCCAGGGGAAAGTTTGTGGCGTGTATAATTACGAAGATAAGGGAATACTCGACAACCAAAAGTTCGAAAAGTTGCATATGAAGGCACCTGATTGAATAAAATCTCATATGGAGACTTTTTTGAAAGCAATGGTGTTGGGAGACGATTGATGATGTATGTGGCGGACGTAAATGCATCAACCCATAAGGAAGCAGGTGCATGTGCATTAAAAAGCATTGCAAGACCAGTTTCATTCACATGACGGCGCTTGCGCTCGGCCCGTCCATTTTGTTGAGGCGTATGCGGACAAGAAAGGCGATGATTGATGCCATTGTCGAGTAATACCTTTTGAACACGATGATTAGTAAATTCTGTACCACCATCACTTTGTAAACATTTAACCTTGGAAGAGAATTGTGTATGCACAAAGGTTAAGAAGGCAACTAATACATTATAGAAATTTGACTTGGCCTTAAGAGGATAAAACCAACTAAATCTTGAGAAATCATCAATAAATACCACATAATATAAGTAGCCATCAGTTGAGATAATAGGGGCTGGTCCCCATAAATCACAATGAATCATATCCAAGACATCTGAAGAACGTTTGGGATTTTTCATAAAAGGTAATTTATGAGTTTTAGACAACTGGCAAGATGAACAAACACTTGGTTTTGGTAATAAAGAAGTAACAACTAGATGTCCAAGTTTATTTAACAAAGAAATAATATCAAACGAAACATGACACAAACGTCCGTGCCATCGTTCATATGAAGCTCGAAGATGGTGTGAATTGACAGCTGCCATAAATGCCTTTTGCCCTTGTTGAAGAATATAAAGGCCATTCTCACATTTACCCCTTGCTAATGCCTCCCGAGTTTGACGATCCTGGATTTCAAAGAACGTACTAGAAAATAATATGTCAACGGGAGAATCGGATGTGAGTTTACTTATTGAGAGAAGATTTTTGGTGAGATGTGGAACCACCAAAACATCTAAAAGAGGTAGTCTATTATTAATAGAAGATTTTCCAGTATATAAAACTGGTAAAGAGTTACCATTGCCGAATATAACCCGATCAGGACCTCAGTATGGTGTGGAGGATGAAAGGCCATTTGGAGTAGATGTCATATGAGCAGTTGCCCCAGAGTCAACATACCAGTCCGGAGAGTTTTCAGATACATGGCATTGAGAGTAAAAAGCTTATGCTAGGTTAGCATCTAAAACAGGTCCACGTTGTGCAAAAGTAGACAGATTTGGACATGAAGATGCGTAGTGACCTTCTTTCCTGCATAATTGGCAATGGGGTGGTCGACGATTACGACCACGACCGCCAGAAGTAGAACCACCACGTGATTTGCCTCGAGAACCACGTGAAGGGCCGGTAGAAGAGCGGTGACTATCAGCAAGAAAAGCAGCTTGTGAGGCTGGTGCACTGTGAATAGATTGCAGAAACAGATCATGACTTTCTTCTTGTGATAAAAGATCCTGAAAAGTAGACCGGGGATGGACAACCCTTGTAGCAGTGAAAAAAGTCTCAAACGGTGAACCCAAACCACAAAGAAACCAATGACACTTATCATCATCACTAATCGGATGTCCGATAGCAGCAAGTTGATCACAGAGAGCTTTAAACTTACGACCATATTCTGAAACAGAGGATGAACCCTTTTGAAGCTGACGAAGAGAGTCACGTAGTGTATGCATACGTTCCACAGAAGAGTGTTGATAGGCAGATTGAAGTGCACACCATACCTGTCTAGCAGTTGAGAGACCGAGAGTCTCAGCCATTGATTCTTCGGTTAGGGAAGACTGAAGGAGAAGCAAAACACGCTGATCAGCATCCTTCCAAGCCAAAAAATCAGGGTTTGGAATTGATTTTTCACCAATGGTGGTAGTCTCAGGCGGTGGCAGAAGAGTGCAATCTACATGGTCGAGGAGGTGCTGGTAAGAAAAAATGGGTATCATCTGGTTCTTCCATAATAGATAATTGTTGGAAGAAAGTTTAATGTTAATCATGTGTAAAAGAGTATTAAGAGGGAGGGTGGATCCATCGGAAACAGAAGAAGAAGAAGAAGAAGAAGAACCGGTCATGGCGGCAAGGAGAAATCGCAGAAGAGGGTTAGGGAGGGGAAGGACCGAATAGTTAGGCTGATACCATGTGAACCGTGGATAATTTATTGATTGCAGAAAAACAATACGTACAATGGTTTAAATACATAAATAATCTCCTAACAATATGGAGATATAAAAGAGAAATATTGAGAGAATTACAACAGGGATATATTTTCCATAAAGGATAATTATTTCCTAATATATGCCATGGGATAGGTCCCAACTTTGGGTGGGATACATCTCCGAAAATGGGTAAAAAAATATTGTAATTACAATTTTTTTTTAATTATGGATAAAAAGTAAAGAATATTGATTATATTGGTAAAAAGAATAAAGTACATTGCTATTTTCCATAATTTTCCCTTATATTAATTAAAGACATTATGCAGAGACGTGTACAAACGTGTATGTGTAGCGGGGGGTGATCCAACCATAATAGAATCTCCAACTGAACCAAAGTGGTCATCTGAAGGTGAGCAAATCATATCTCTTTAAATATTATTATATATTTTAAATATTTTATATATTTGAAATAGGCTTCGTTACACTTTTGGGTTTTTAACATATGTTGCATATGTTTTACTACAGGAGAATTATTCTTTGTCACTGATAGGAATCTTGGATTTTGGAATCTTCACAAATGGGTAATCTCCATAGGATTTCCATCATGGATTTAGTCTATAGAAATTAAAATATTAACTTTATCTTTTGGTAACAGGTTGAATCTGATAACACAGTGTTACCTTTATATTCATTAGATGCTGAATTCACAAGACCATCATGGGTTTTTGGAATAAATTCTTATGAGATAATTAACGACCAAAAAAACTTAATTGCATGCAGTTACAAGTAACTATAATATTGATATTAAATATTAATAAATAATAATTAATAACATCTTGTTAATTTAATCATTTATTCGTGATCCACAGGCAGAAAGGAAAGTCATATCTTGGAGTTTTGGACAAAAATAAGAACACATTATCCGTTATTCAAACTCCTTTCACAGATCTAACAAATATTGTAAATGAAATATTCTCTCCTTCCAGTTTAACAAAATTTTGTTACTTAATTTATACAATATTAAATTTTGAATATCTTTTGTAGACTTGTGGTGTACACTGCCTATATGTTGAGGGGGCATCCGCTGTTCATCCATTGTCGATAGCTAAGGTTGAATTTTATTATTTTAATTAATGGCTGTTAGAAATAGATAATTCTAAGAAGGGTGAAAACAGAGAGGAAAGCTTTGTTCTTTTTATTTCATGAAAGGATGATAACACCAAACTGAACAGGAACAATATTTATAGTCGATGTGAAGTATTTCAGAGGTCTCTTACAACCTAACATCTTCTTAACTGATGCAAAACTTTAAATGAAAGAGTTAAAACAGGTGAAGAACTAAATGTGGGGACACAAAAGGTCTCATGCGTCAACACTCCTCCTTGAGACTTTTGCTGTAACACCAAGTTTGGATCGAAGGAACTCAAACTTCCCTTTTGGCAAGGCTTTGGTTAGAATATCTGCAAGTTGAAACTCTGAGGGGCAATGGACAAGCTTCACAAGTTTTTCCTGTTGATCATCTCGAAGTGCATAGAACTTGACCTTCATGTGTTTTGTCTTGCTGAAACAAACTGGATTTTTTGAAATGGAAATGGCTGATTTATTGTCAACGAACACATCAGTAGCATAATCTTGCTTGAATCCCATGTCTGCAAAGATCTTCCTCAACCATACAACTTGATTAGCAGTAGCTGAAGCTGCAATATATTCAGCCTCTGCAGTGGACTGAGCTACAACTTCTTGTTTCTTGGAAATCCACGAAAACACTCCCGAGCCAAATGAGAAGGCATAACCTGAGGTGCTTTTCATGTCATCTTGGGAACCACCCCAGTCACTATCAGAATAAGCAATTAACTTCGGATCAGAACATGGTTGATAAAGAATTCCATGATCAGTAGTACCCCGCAAATATCTTAGAGTCCTTTTTGCAGCACCCATATGAATTTCACTTGGCTCATTCATAAACCTTGACAATATGCTTGCAGAAAACATTAAATCTGGTCGTGTTGCTGTCAAGTATAACAAGCTTCCAACTAAGCTCCTGTACTGTCTAGGATCAATCTTTTTGCTTCCATCATTTCTAGAAAACTTTTCATTTACCACAAGGGGTGTTGCTACTGCTTTGGAACACTGCATTTTGAACTTCTTGAGGATATCTTCTGCATACTTGGTTTGGGAAATAAAAATCACATCTTCTGATTGTTGAACCTCCATGCCAAAAGAGTAATTCATTAAAACCAAGTCAGTCATCTCGAACTTCTTCTTCATCTCCTCCTTGAATGTAAGGATCATCTTTGAATTATTTCCTGTAACAAGAAGATCATCGACATAGAGGGATATAATAAGCAAATCATTTTTTCCTTGCTTCTTTATGTACAAAGTGTGCTCATTTTTGCTTCTCTCAAAGCCTTGCTCAACGAGATAAGAGTCTATTTTACTGTACCAAGCGCGCGGGGCCTGTTTTAGGCCATAGAGAGCTTTTTTCAGTTTGCACACCTTCTCTTCTTTCCCTTCAACAATGAATCCATATGGTTGCTCGACGTAAATATCTTCCTCAAGTTCGCCATTTTGAAATGCAGATTTAACATCAAGTTGAAATATTTTCCACCTTTCTTGAGCTGCTAATGCAATTAGTGTCCTTATGGTGTCATGTCTAGCCACAGGAGCGAAAGTGTCTCCATAGTCTATACCGGCTTGTTGTGAGTATCCCTTAACGACCAATCTAGCCTTGTGTTTGCTGATAGTTCCATCAGGGTTTAACTTAGTTTTGTAGACCCATTTCACGCCAATCACCTTTCGATCGCTTGGCCTATCGACCAACTCCCATGTTTCATTTTTCTCTATCATTTTCATTTCGTTCTCCATAGCATCTTGCCATTGTTTGTGTTTTGAGGCTTCAGAATAATCGTGTGGCACATCAGTAGCAAAGAAACACCTCTCACACTGTTCAACATCTAAGTGAATAATTGGACAGTCTTCATATACATCAGAAAGTGATCTTTTACCTCTAGGACCTGTGGCATTTTTTGAGTTTGAACCCGATGTTGGTGAGTCTGCATGTGTAGGAGATGACGGAGGCGTATGAGAATCAGAATGCACATCATTGTTGTTAACCTCATATGATTCTTGAGGTTTTTGTTGATGAGGAGGATCATAGACTACATTCATTTTCCTTTCAAGCTTTCCCTCTTCCCAATTCCAGATTGCATCTTCATCCACTTCCACGTCTCTATTCACGATGACCTTCTCGGTGTTTAGGTTATAAATCCTGTAACCTTTTGACTTTGAGTCATAACAGATAAAGATTCCTTTTTCTGACTTTTCATCAAGCTTGCTTCTTTTCTGGGACGGGATGTGAACGTAGCAAACTGAACCAAATACTTTTAAATGTTTTGTTGTTGGCATTTTCCCATTCCAGGCTTCAATTGGAGTTTTCTCATGAACCGCCTTAGTAGGTAGTCTATTTAGCAGATATACGGCTGTGTAAACAGCATCCGCCCAAAATTTCTTTGGCATTTTCTTTTCTGCGAGTATGCATCTGGCCATTTCCATGACGGTTCTGTTCTTTCTTTCGGAAACTCCATTTTGCTGAGGCGTGTACGCGACTGTAAGTTGTCGTTCGACGCCTTCATCTTCACAAAATCTATCAAATTCCACCGCAGTATACTCCTTTCCTCGATCAGATCTCAACATTTTCAACTTGCAACCACTTTGAGTTTCAGCAAGAATTCTAAACTTCTTGAAAATGCTAAAAACTTCTGATTTTTCCTTCATGAAATACACCCAAGTCATCCGACTGAAATCATCAATGAACAAGATGAAATATTTGTTCCCATTAAGAGATGTTGTTCTTTGGGGACCACATACATCTGTATGCACGAGGTCTAACTTTCCCTTTGCTCTCCAAGCTTGTCCTTTCTGAAATGGTAGTTTATGTTGCTTCCCGAGTTGGCAAGGCTCACAAACATCTTTTGAAACATGGATCGAGGGAAAGTCCCTAACCATACCCTTCTTATGTAGGTAATTTAATGCACGTACATTGAAGTGCCCATATCTTCTATGCCACAACCAGGTACTTTCCATATTAGCTCTGTTTAATTTCTCTGAAGGATATTTCCATATCAAGGGGAAGCTTTTATTCTCCACCACAACTTCAACAATCTTTTTCTTTGCAGGATCTTTTATAGTGCAACGGTCATCCTTAAAGAGAACTGAGTATCCGTTCTTAATCATTTGAGCCACGCTAAGAAAATTCTCAGCAAGATCCGGAACAAGAAGACCATCATTGATATATTTCGTACCTTCATTTGTTTCCACATCAATAGTACCCTTGCCTAAGGACTTAGAAACAACTCCATTCCCCATACGCACCGGTACTTTGACAGAGTAATCCAACATGCAGAAGATGCTTGAATTATTTGTCATATGATTAGTGCAGCCGCTGTCGATAAACCAAATTTCCTTGTTGCTCGAGGCTGATGCTTGGCGCGCACAAAACAAATAATCTTCATCCATGTTGGTACTTGAGAATTGCGCTTCTGCCTTGGACTCCTTTTGCTTTTGTCTACAATCTTTTTCGACATGACCATATTTCATGCAATGTCGACATTGAGGTTTCCCTTTGAAATAGCAATCTTTTTCTGCATGATTTGTCTTCTTACAAGTTCCACAAGGAGGAAATTTTCCTTTTGATTGTGGAGCTTGTTTTTTATGATTTTCGCTGGAATCTCCATAACTTTTCTTCTTCCAAGAGTTGTTTTTAGGACCTGATTGCTTTTGTTTATCATTGGACCGGAAGACTTCTTCGGATGAACTTTCTGTTGCTTTTTTGAGTTTTTGATCGTGTAGTTGCAAAGAACTCATCAGCTCTGTAACGCTTAGTTGGGATAAATCCTTTGATTCTTCAATTATAGCGGCGATTGTATTGTACCTGTTGGTCAATGTCGCAAGAATTTTTTGCACAATTCTTGCATCAGAGATGTCTTCTCCGTAAGTTTTCATTTGGTTTACAACTTCAAGTAATCTAGAAGTGTAAACCTTTGTATCTTCATTCTCCTTCATTTTCATATTTTCAAAATCTTTTCTTAGATAATTTAGGCGAGCGGTTCTTACTCTCTCATCCCCTTGAAACTCCTCCTCAAGGGATTGTCATGCTGATTTTGCAGATAATGCTCGTATAATTCTGGGAAATATGGTGTGTGTGACAGCGTTAAGTATATAGGACAAAGCTTTGGCGTCTTTAAGCTCATCTTCCTTCAACTGCTGTAATTGAGCTTCTGTATACTGGACTCCTTCAGCTTTTTGTTGAAAGCCAGTTTCCACTATCTCCCATAGTGCGTTCGCTTTTAAGAAGAGCTTCATTTTAATGCACCAGTATTCATAATTTTCTCCATCAAAGACAGGAGGTGCTGGTGTAGAGAATGTTATTGCAGATGTACCGGCCATTCTTGCAAACTGGATTGATTTTCTGGTCCTTAAGATCCTTGTTGCTCTGATATCACTTGTTAGAAATAGATAATTCTAAGAAGGGTAAAAACAGAGAGGAAAGCTTTGTTCTTTTTATTTCATGAAATGATGATAACACCAAACTGAACAGGAACAATATTTATAGTCGATGTGAAGTATTTCAGAGGTCTCTTACAACCTAACATCTTTTTAACTGATGCAAAACTTTAAATGAAAGAGTTAAAACAGATGAAGAACTAAATGTGGGGACACAAAAGGTCTCATGCGTCAACAATGGCAAACTAATTAATACTATTAAATATCATATTCAAATTTGATCCTAAACAAAATTTTATTACGTGTGACAGGTGACTTTAGATGATCAAGCATCAAAAGTCGTGGATTTCAAGATTGTTTGGTCTTCTTCACCTACAAGTTCAAATTACAAGTCCTATTTTAGCACTCCAGAGTTTATTGAATTTCCAACACAATTTTCTGGTGAGAAGGCGTATGCGTACTATTATCCCCCCACAAAATCCAAAGTATCAAGCGAGTCAAGAAGAAAAACCACCATTGCTATTGCAGACTCATGGTAATTATTATATTCTTTTTTTTTCTTACAATCATATTGTCATATATGTATATACGGTTTTATATTTCAAATTCTGCAACAGGAGGACCTACAGATGAAGCACATGGAATCTTGAATCTAAATATTCAATTTTGGACTAGTCGTGGTTGGGCTTTTGTAGATGTGAATTATGGTGGAAGCACCGGTATGTTTTAACTTAACCCTAAACCCTAATCCCTAATCCCTAAACCCTAAACCTTAAACCCTAAAATGTAAATGATCATTGATTTGAAGGTTATGGTCGAAAGTTTCGTGAAAGACTTTTGAAGCAATGGGGTATAGTTGATGTCAACGACTCTTGCAGTTGTGCTCAATTTTTGGTGATTTTTTTCTCCCATAAGTTAATAAATATATTATTTATAAGTCATACGTGTTAATTTTTCTGATATATATATTTTTTTGTATTGTTTGTATTTCTTTTTTACAGGTAGACAATGGAAAGGTAGATGGTGAAAGACTTTGCATCACGGGGGAGTCTGCTGGTGGTTACACAACATTGGCTACACTTGCTTTCAAGAATACATTCAAGGCTGGATCTTCTTTGTATGGTGTAAGTATTCATGTCATTATGTATTTATGTTATAGGGTTAAATGCAAAAAACTTTCATTTATTGATTTATTATAGCTTTCTACCTTAATTTCATCGTATTATTACTAAAAGTCATGTTATGGTCACAAACAGATAGCTGACTTGAAGTCGTTGAAAGAAGAAATTCCCAAGTTTGAATCCTACTACATAGATAATCTTGTTGGTAAATATCTAAACTTATAAAAGCATTTGTGCACATTTGGTAAAAAAAATATATATATACTTTTGTACAAGAGTTATATAAATTGAATATCTACTAAATTGCAACAGGGAGTGAAAAAGATTTCTTTGAGAGCTCTCCTATTAATTATGTTGATCAGTTTTCTTGCCCTATCATACTCTTTCAAGGATTAGAAGACAAGGTAATATCCAATGCATTTCTGAATTTATTTTTGTAAAAAAATTTAGGATATTATTATTTTTTCCATATAATTTGTGTTGTAGGTTGTATCCCCAGAGCAAGCAAAGAAAATCTACAAAGCCTTGAAATCAAAAGGATTGCCTGTTGCACTTGTGGAATATGAAGGAGAACAACATGGTTTTCGCATGGTAGATTAAAAAAAATAATGATCATAAAATTGTTTTAAAAATCATGAATTACATCATTTTTTTTTTAACTTGTGACATGCAGGCTGAAAATATTAAATTTACACTTGAACAACAAATGGTGTTTTTCTCACGTTTGGTGGGACATTTTAAGGTGGCTGACGAATTCACACCCATAAAAATTGATAACTTCGACTAGAGGTTTGCATTTGTATTTTTATACTTTTTGTGATCTATTGGTTAGCCACGTGTATTAATATGATTGACATTTTTTTAAAACAGGTCCCACTAGTGAATTCGGTTGTTGGTAGGTATTGTTGGATGAATTTGGTTAAAGGTTGTTGGTACTTGGTATTCACCACTAAACATGGTCTAAGAGTGTCTCTTCAATGGTTAATTAGCTTTTTGTTTGTAACTTGTTCAAACTTCTTGCCACATGTGTCAACTCGACAATCAGATCGGAGAAGAATATCATATTTTCACCATAACAAAAATCAGAGCAAACAAAATGCTTATCCATTTTTATGGTTTATTATTTTTGCCATGTAGGATTGCTAGTGACTTCATTTGGAGGGAAAAAATACATCTATAAATATCATCTTCAATACGGAAGCTTGTTTTCCAACAATTACCTATTTATCTATATTTATTTGAAATATTTATCGTTTTTTAGAGTATTTAGTATTTATGATGTATTATGTTCTGTGGCCCATTGCATACTTAGCCCACATTGTGCTAGCTCTTTTCCTTATGTTGTAATTAAATATTGATGGTTTATTCTTGGGAAAATAATCTGTAACAATGTTGTTAGGCTTCTTCCTACACCAAACGTGGCCCTATTAGCCCAATCAGCAAAATGATTTCGTTCGGCAGTAATCCCTTTGGCCCAATTCAGTTAATGCAACCCATTTTCATAAAGTTTTAATGGCTTCCACCCATTGGATAGCCCAATTCATGGCTGTGGTTTCTGTTCCCGGGCACAAATGATCAAAGAGACGACTCTTCAACAAGCCTTTAGCACCATGACTCTACAAGACCGAGAAGATGTAGATTGGTATATAGACTCCGGAGCGACATCACATCTTCATGCCAACTCAGGTATATATGGCCCATCACTAACCCAAGAGATAGATACCTCATTCACTACTAAAGTGACCGACTCGACCTAATGTTCTAAGTGAGGCGCGACTCTCACCCGTAACATTGTCCCTAATGTATTGCATTTGCTACTCTGGCAATGCAAATAAAAGTATGTGTGTTGCCGTTTGAGAGTGGTACTTTTCATTATTTTCTTTCACTATAAACTTCCCACCCAAATATGATATTTTATCAAGTGTCATCACTATGTCAATATCACTCCAGTCCTTGCAACTATGGACCATGTCCCGAATGGTGGTCTAAAAAAATCACTCGGCATCATTATTGGCTTAAGCGCTTTCCTTTTAGGTGTCATTCAACCTATAAGGCCCTCACAAATATTCAGATAGGGTACACACCCCTAAGTTTAGGTTGCTACCATTTATGCTCCAGTTAGTGTATTCCTCTTTTTTAATTAATACTATATTATTAATTCCTCACATAAGGATTACACTACAAGCCTCTTTAAGTAATCATACTCAATTTCTATTAATAATATTATATGTCATATTACTTCCATACTTTACAATATGTTGTAACATCTTGTCCTTCCAGATAGTTACCTTTTACCATCTTGGTATTCGAATTGTTTGTAAAGTGGTCCATAATGGCATTTTTGTATTTATGGGGGCAACATGTGTATGATGGGCGTACATGCCGGTACGCTGGGCATACCTGGGCTTGCTCGAGTATGCTGGGCGTACACTAGTACGCTAGGCGTACGTGGCTTGGACTAAACCCTAATATTCGGGGTTTGTTCATTATTTAAATACCCTTATAGCCTGAAAACATTTCCTCTTATCAGTCTCTACCCCTCACATCGATCCCCTTGCAAACCCTAACCATTTTAGAGCATATTTGAGCTTTTGAGTGTGTTGTGTACATTCTTGTTTGTGAAGGAAGATCATCAAAGAAGTGGTGTTGCTCCCAAGTACTTGGATCCATCCTTTTCTCTTCATTGCGCACCTTTTGGAGGTATAAAGCTCTAACCTTCATTCATTTCTCTCTAGATCTTAGTTAAACTTAGATTTTTACTCTTTTTGTTTCAAAACCTAGACCTTTGTGAGTATGAAATACTCCAAAACCTTTAAGCTGTCCTTTCAGACATTTTAGGGTATTTTATGTCATAAAAATGCAAGCTTGGATCTTGGTTTGCTTCCATGCAAGAGTTATGGACTGGTAGATGGTTGAATGAGTTAGGTTTTTGATGTTGGGTTCCTTATAGCCATGCAAAGGCATAAAGCTTGCAACTTTATGGCCTTAGGTGTTTTATTAAGCTCATATCTGAATTTGGACGTTAGGTCTTAAGGCATTAAGGTCTTAATAGTAGAACTTGATCATCGGTGCGTACGTCGGACACAGTTGGGAGTACGCTGCGCGTATTGCACATCAACCCCGCCCCTCCTTCCACATCAGGCGCTTATACGTGGGGCGTACAAGGTGGTACATGGGTTGTACTACTCAGATTCAACATTTGGGACTTTCTTTTGGGCTTTGGACCGTTATGAGTTGGGCCTTTTAGGATGGGCCGAATGGGGAGGGCAAAATGACCTTTTGCCCTTAATTTGGATATTAGAATACTTAGACTTTTTATTATGGGTTAGAACCCTAATAATTAATTAGGGTTATTTTTTGGAATATGATTAGTATGAGGAGCCGTGTTAGCAGTAGCTCGAGTGTTCGGTTTAGTCATCTTCTTTTGAAGGCGAGTCTTCTTGCTGCACTAGTGGGTCGATGGCACCAATGCCGGCCGACTTATTTACATGTGTTGGATGTGTGTGATTATGTGAACATGTTTGATATATATATATATATATATATATATATATATATATATATATATAGAGAGAGAGAGAGAGAGAGCCAATATGGGCTCGGAGTCATTATAGAGTCGGGGGTTGATACGGACCGGGGGTTGATATGGACCCGACACAACTACATGCTGTCATATGGTGTTGATTCGGACCTGACACAACCATGTGCTTGTAACACCCGTTTTCTTGGACGAATCGATTTGGGGCTTCAAGGAGTCAAAAGTTTGAGTTTTGGAGAAAAAGGAGCCTTACGACGTGAGACATAAGCGCTCACGACGTGAGATGGGATGCATGAAGATTTCTGTCAGGGACTGAGCTCACGACGTGAGCAATAGGAGCCCACGACGTGAGGATTGCTACAGCCGAAGCCCACAAACTTTTAGTGTTTCCCACATATTTAAGCCCCCTTAATTCGGTTTTAGGGTTCATTTCTCAGCCTCCACTTCCCTCCAACTCAGAAAAATCCTAAGCCTCATCCTTCTTGGTGGGTTTGGATCCATCTTGGTGTTTTAGTGGCTAGAAGAAGAAGAAGAAGGTGTTCTAGAGTGTTGGTCCAACAAATAGGCTTTATCATCAACATTGTGTGCACATTTTAGACCATTGTAGGTGTCCAAGATTCATTTCCTTCATGATTATGAAATTTTGCATGGAGGAAATCCATAAAGTTGGCAACTTGATGGCCTTTGAGGGTCTTTTGAGCATCATATCTTATGGATCTAAAGTTTAGTTGTGATATATGAATCTTGCATGAGTATAGGGCCATTTCTAGTCATTTTGACTTTAGATGGGTTTAGGACATGCATGGGGCATGCATGTCCATCAAGTAATCATTTTTATGGGCCTTTGGATCCCTCTTTAGCCTATGGAAGAATTAAGGTCAAAGGCTTAATGGATTAAGGACTTAAAAGTTGGACTTTTAGCCTCAGAATGTTCTCACAACATGAGACACAAGGTCTCACGATGTGAGGAGCGTTTGGTCCCGTTTCTGATGAGCTTGTTGAGGGTCAAGACATGAGGATATGTGTTCACGTCGTGAGGTCGCCTCAGATGTTATTCATTGAATGAGTTGGTTAGGTTGAGTCGGGATGAGTTGAGATCTGATCGAGTGAGCTCTCACAATGTGACCAAGGACTGGTCACGACGTGAGATATGATTTTGGGCTTTTGGGCCTTCTTGTGCTTGGGCCTATTTGGAGCTTCGGGTGTCTTTTAGGAATTTAGCCCTTCTTGGATTAGGCCCATGATCGGTTTTGGGCCCAATTAGGAAGTTGGGCCATATTGGACTTTTGATGCTATTGGTTTGGGCCTCGGATTTTGAGCCAAGAGAGGAAAGGGTAAAATGGACTTTTACACTGAGTGTTGGACAATCGGACTTGGATTCCAGCTATGGGTTGTGGACCAGTTATTATTTTGGTATTATTGATGATGTTAGCGCGGGGATTTTCCGGTTCGGTAGTCCGAGCTTTTATATTAGATATTTGACAGCTTGGGGTGAGTCTTCTCACTATACTATGGGTCGAAGAAACCAATGCCGGCCCATTCGCTTATGTATTTTAGGAAGACCATGGGGTGGTCCTTGGCATATGTATGAAAGAACCGGAGATGGCTCCTGACAAATTGTATGCAAGAGTAGGGAATGAACCCTGGCAGATAGGTAGATTTGTATGTATGTGTGTATAGGTAGTATGCTAGTTGTTTTTGTGATACTTGCATGGAAGACTAGGAGGTGGATCCTGGCACTTGTCCGTAAGACCCAGGGTATTGGCCACCGGCCTGGCAAGGAAAGACCATGATACGACTTGTGGCATGATGGCAAGACTATGGTTGGCACATAGCATTCTCTATTGTATGTATGGTATGTGGTATTTTGGGAACTCACTAAGCTTTGTGCTTACGGCTTATTGTTTATGGTTTCAGTTACTTCTTGTACAAAATGGAAGGGCCCGGCATGACTGTACTGCATCCACCTATGTTTTCGCAATTTTATGATCGTGGGATTGTACTTTGATAATTGTTTTATTATAAAATACTTTTGAATGTTTGGATAAAAGATAATTGGTGTTATGGTTAAATTAAAAACGAAATTTTTACCTTGAAATTTTAGGACGTTACAGTGCTATTATATGTGTATGTTTACTGTATGTGGTATTTTGGGAAAGCTCACTAAGCTTTGTGCTTACAGTTATGTTTATGGTTTCAGGTACTTACAGTACAAAAGGAAAGGGCACGACATGATTACAGCCCATCTACCCATGTTCTGCATTTTCTTTGTGATTTTGGATTTGTACTCTGATAATTACTCTTATTTGACATACTTTGTTTGAGATTATTATGAATACTTGATGGTTTTCGTTTAATTAAAAAATGAAAATTTTTATCCATGTTTTTGGGGTGTTACATATGTAAACATGCAACAAAGTATTACAAGTTAAGGTATTTTACATCTTATATATAATCATGCTCATATTATCACTTCATCATTAAGGCATATTATATAACTAGTATGCATTGTCCTAGCCAACATAAGCAAATATTACCAAAAAATTATTGCATGAAAATATCACACACAATCAACACAAATTCCTCTTTCTATCATGGACCTATCACACCCCTTACATCAAAATAGCAAATAAAAAGTATAGCATGAGAGAAACATCATTCACATCAACATTTCATTCATAATTTGGGTACATGTAACCTATATAACCTAGGTTCATTCCAATCCCTTTAAGATATTGAATTCCTAACAAGTACTCAAAATAACCACAATGACTGACTCGCCTTTGTAAAAAATGCCCTTTCCACACATGAAATCACTCGAATTAAGATAGAAAGAAGCATGAATTCTGGAAACAAAAAGGAAAACGTTGATTCCATGATTTGAGCAATTCTTACACATCATTAGTCACACATTTGAAGGTGTTATTAAAAATATTTTGACAACCATAATCCACTAAAAACACAACCAAAGTGGCTGAAATTTGATCATATAAAATCATAAGTTTTGAAGGTAGAAAGATGCATGATCAATAACACCAAAGAGAAACCAAATTGACTTCACCAACTCAACCAATTCTCAATAAATTGATATGAAAACCTCAGAAAAAGAAGAAGTATAGGGTTTTACGAAGATTGGGATTGATTTCATAGCTCCAAAACTCCTTGAATGATC